GACGTCACCTCCCGTCTCTAGGTAACGCGGCGGTGGGGAGTGGGGTGTCAAACAAAGCGGCCGCAGGGCGGCCGCTACCTGCTGGCCCCTTTCCTCTCGGACCCTTGACCCTCAGACACTCAGAGCCATGTCCCTGCCGGTGCTCCCGGGCTACGGCTTCGAGCGCTATGTGAGTAGGGAGGGCACCCCGGCTGGGGTCTGGGTCCTGGACTTGGCCACATCCCCGAACCCTAGGGCAGACCTCCCGCCGCGGTTTCCCCTTCTGTGAATTGGGCTCAACTTGGACCAAACTTTGTAGGCTGGCGGGATCCTTACTTTCTGCTTCCCCTTCCCCCCGCGTCTCCAACTGCACCTGGATGCTTTTGCTAAATGAGATACATAAGTAGAGTCCTTAGAGGTGGGAGGAACCTTGAGGGTCGTAGATGGTAGTGATGATAACAATGATCTATGGGCATTTAAGATATGAGAGGCGCTGTGCTTTAATCGCCTTACACAACATTTGATGTTCCCAACATCTCTTTGTATTAATACTATGTTTGTTCCCATTTTACAGTTGAAGAAACTGAGGCACTGGCCAGAGTTACACAGTCTCAGTGGTGAAACTGGATTTCTTTCAGGCAACTTGTTCCCACAGCCCTGTGTGAAAGAGATAGATACAGTTTCTATTATTACGTTGAAGAATAATAACAAAAATAGTTACAAGGCTGGTAGGGGGCAGATAGGTTAAGGGTTTCTTTATAGAGAGAGGCACCCAAACTTGGGGGAGTTTTTTCTTTGTTTAGATTTGGGAGGGGTTCATTTCAAAACAAGACAAAGGTATAAAGCAAAACAACAAAACACAACCACATAAAAACCCCTGAGCAGGAAAGGACTTTTGCCAATTAGTACCATCTTATTTAAACAGCAGAAACATAATTCAGGCTTCTGTTCACATTAGCTAACTACTCTTTACTTGGCTTTCCCACTGTGTCTGTAGGAAGAAGGTAAGTAACATACCGATGGGAGGGAACTAGTTGGGGCCATTAAAGGTATTTGTGTAAACCTCTGGGAAGTTTAGAAAGCAGGTGGTGGATGGAAGCATGGGATTTTTATGGATTCTGAACGAAGTTGTGGGCCCTCATGTGCAAGGTTTCTTTGTAACTTCCGCCCACTGCATTCCAACTCCTACAGGGGGGCTGACCAATCCAGCTTCCTTTTTGAACACTGGTTTGTTTATTTCTTGGCTGATGGGGGAGAGGCTGGCCTTCCCGCCTAGCATTGCCCTTTGGTAAGATTAGGTTGGCAACAAATAAGAAAGACCCCTGAGAGGCAGTACATAAAAAGATTCCAGAAGTAAACAAGCGTGCTGTGTAAAAGTAATGGTAATAAAAATGGAAAGCAGAGCCCACAGCTTTGGGCCCAGCAATACTTCCGATTACCGATGCCTACTTTTGCGCAAGTACCACACTTCTCAAATGCAGTGATTGAGTGGGAAGGAAAAAACAGTGGTTGGATGAGATATTTTAAAATCTGTAAGGCTGTACTGAGTGTACTTTTTCTTTTAAACTTTTTTTTATTGTGAAGTACAATACAGAAAAATGCACAAAGGATCATAGAATGAATAGCAAGAAATAAAAATGTTACCACTTGAAAAGCTTCCCCCTTGACTCAGCAAATAAAAACACATATCCCCAATACTGCATGGGACCTACTTATACTAAAAGATTATTTGTTGTTCATCTGAAATTCAAATCTAACTGAGCATCTTGTATTTTATGTGATAACCCCAGCATTTCTCAACCTTCTCTGCTCTGCATAGGTAACCACTCTCCTGGCTGCTATCACTATAGTTAGGTTTTGTTTGTTTTTGAATTTTGTGTCAATGGAAATGTCCAGTGTTCTTTTATGACTGACTTTTTTTTAAAGCTCAACATTATGTTTGTGAGATTTGGTCATATGGTAGTCTGTAGGTGTAATTTGTATACTTTTGTTGCTCTATAGTATTCTGTTGCATTACTATGATGTCATTTATATACACATTTAAACTTGACAGAGATTTGGCTTGTTTGGAGTTATTAACAATAGTTTTCTGTGACTATTCTTGTTTATGTCTCATGGCACAATTGCTAGATCATATGGTATTCCTATGTTTGGCTGTTGTAGACGCTATCGAAATAATTATACCGATTTAAATTCCCAACACCATTTTATGTCCCTATTAGAGTCCAGGTGCATGAAATTCATGCGGGGGGGGGGTCCTCAGCCCGCCGGCCTGCACCCTCTCCAATCTGGGACCCCTCGGGGGATGTCCGACTGCTGGATCAGGCCAAAACTGACAGTTGGACATCCCTCTCACAGTCTGGGACTGCTGGCTCCTAACCGCTTGCCTGCCTGCCTGACTGATTGCCCCCTAACCGCTCCCCTGTCATACTGATCATCCCCTAACCGCTCCCCTGCCTGCCTGATTGATGCCTAACTGCTCTCGTGCCACCGATCGCCCCCAACTGCCCTCCCCTGCCAGCCAATTTGGTTCTGATTGGTCAGTTTCTATGCCAGTCAGCGTCAAAAGCTCTGCCTTCTAGGCAGCCATTGGCTCCTCACAGTTCACCCAGATTTGTTTCTGATTGGTTGGTTTCTATGTCAGTCAGCATCTCTGGGCCTATCTCTGGGCCTGATCAGAGAGGCGAGGCTGATCAGCAGCCTCCGCGGAGGCCAGGAGAGAAACAGAGGCGCAACTGCTGGCAAAGCTCGGAGAGAAAGAAAGAGGCAATGGCTGATCAACAGCTGCCACAGAGGCTGCGGATCAGACCCTGCCTCTCTCTCCAGGCCTCTCTCAGGCCTGATCCGTAGCCCCCTCAGTCAGTGCTGGGTCACTGCGCCTGCACCTGCGGCAGTCAGTGCTGGGTCGCCACGTCAACCCAGCACTGACTGTAGGACTGACTTCCAGTGTTTGGTCGAGCCTTTGGTCGGTCATTACGGACCCTGGTTGTTTATATATTAGGATTGCTCCATATTCTTTCTAACACTTGATATTATTAGTTTTTTAAATTTTAGGTATTGTAATCAGTGGGTGTAGTGCAACTCTGTAGTTTTAATCTGGATTTATACATTTATTGGTCATTTGTATATTCTCTTTTGTGTAGTATCTGTCTTGCTTGCCTTCTACTGTGTTGCCTGCCTTTTTCTTAGTGATTTGTAGGAATTCTATATAGATTTTGGATATGGCTCATTTGTCAGCTATATTGTGTTGCAAATATCTTCTAGTCTGTGCTTGGTCTTTTCTTTCTCTTGATGGTGTTTTTGTTGTTGTTTATAAGAGTACTTGTTTATTTATTTTTAAAAATATATTTCTTTATTGATTTCAGAGAGGAAGGAAGAGGGAGAGAGAGATAGAAACATCAATGATGAGAGAGAATCATTGATCGGCTGCCTCCTGCATGCCCCCTACTGGGGATCAAGCCCGCAACCCAGGTATGTGCCCTTGGCTAGAATTGAACCTGGGACCCCTAGTCCGCAGGCTGACGCTCTATCCATTGAGCCAAACTGGCTAGGGCTATTTATTTATTTTATGTTTCAATTACAGTTTCCATTCAATATTATTATGTATTAGTTTCAGCTGCACAGCATAGTGGTTAGACAATCATGTACATTACAGTGTCCCACCTGATACTTCCAGTACTCACCTGACACCATACATAGTTATTACAATACTAGAGGCCTGGTGCACAAATTCATGCACAGTTGGGGTCCTTTGGCCTGGCCAGCGATTGGGGGGAGCACACTGACCACCAGGGGGCAGCTCCTGCATTGAGTGTCTTCCCCCGGTGGTCAATGTGCATCATAGCAACTGGTCGAGCAGTCGACCGGTCACTTGGTCATTCAGTCATTCAGTCGCTTAGGCTTTTATATGTCTAGATTGTTAACTATATTCTCTATGCTGTACTTTATGTCCCCATGATTGTTTTGTAACTACCAATTTGTACTTCTCAATGTCTTCACCTTTTTCACCCGGCCCCTCTACCTCCCTCCTCTCTGGCAACCATCAGTCTGTTCTCTGGGTCTATGACTCTGTTTCTATTTTCTTTGTTTATTCTGTTTTTTAGATTCCACATATAAGTAAAATCATATGGTATTTATCTTTCTCTGACTGACTTATTTCACTTAGCATAATACTCTCTAGGTCCATCTTGATGGTGTTTTTAATGAATAATTTTTCCTTTAGTTTAGTGCTTTTTGTTTCCTATTTAAGAAATAGTTCCTTACACCAAGGTCATGATGATATTTTCCTGTGTTATTTTTGGAAATCTTGTTATTTTTTTGCCATTCACGTTTAGCTCTATACTCTAACTAGAATACGTGTGTGTGAGTGTGTATGAAAAGAGGTAGGGGTCAGGTTGCATTTTTTCCTATATGGATATTCAGTTGACACAGAACCATTTGCTAAAGAACAAAAATTTAACTGTGTAAATTTTGAAGATCTTGTTGGCTTTGGATTCAGTGATCCAAGAGTGGGGCAGTATCCTATCTAGCAGATAGAAAGCTCTGAAGAGCTATACAAAGCAACATATTTTGGTAGGCAGAGGGAGCAGGAACCAGGAAGTTGTAGTAGGTAAACAACAGTTTGGCTATTGCAAGATTACTTTCATTATAGGGGATGGCATGGGTTTATCAGGCAGATTACTTGAATTCTGATCAGGAAATTCATGATTGGCTGGTTCAAGATTCTATTTTTGGGAGAGCCAAAACTATAATTAAATTTCAGTTTGGTGACATGGGGCTTAGCATGAGCAACTCCATTTTGGGTCTGTTGTCTTGTCTTCAATACATTTTTGAAAGGCCAACTCTTTCTCTACTTCTCTGCAGAGCTTGGTTTGTCATAAATTAAATCTCTAAATATGTTTGGGTCTGCTTCTAGACTCGTGAGTGTATTTAAAAATTATTTATTTACTTTATGCCTCAGGTCAATAGTCATGTGCATTCGAGACAAGGAGAGAGGGAGAAGGAGAGGGAGGGAGAGGATGAATTAGGGAATGACAGTATACTTATTAGATACCTTGGGTGGTCATTCAATAAATCAGTATTTATGTATTGAGTATCCTAGTCTGTGTCCAAGTCAGGTGGCTGCATTTAAACAATTATTGTACTTGTCTTCGGACTAAATGTGATATGTGTTGCTATGAAATTAATATT